CCCCTCCGCGTTGTGTAACCTGCGAAGCGGTGTCCGCGCTTCCCTCCTGCCGTGGTTCCGATTTCACCCCCGTGAGCCTCCCCACCTCCGACCCACCCCCGTGTTTCTCTTCCAGTGAAACAGGAGGCCTCCCACAGCCGCGGATCCTTCCTTTCCATCTGCTCCTGCACCCTTCAGGTCAGACTGCAATGAGTGGACTGAGGTCTCCTGGGCTGCTGGGGCTGGTGCTCTTAATGCTGTCGGCGGGATATTGCAAAGAGAAAACCGACTCCGCAGATTTGAAGGACAGGCAAAGTCTCTTAAATCTGATCATGGAGATCATTCAGGAACTGAAAAGGTACCACCTGGAGAAGGACAGTGGGGTGCAGTACTTCTCCAAGCATGACTATAACTTAGATCGAAGGGAAGTGGCTGACTACGGAGGATACCAGGATGAGCAGAGAGTTGGTAAGTCACAGTCCATGGCTTAGGAAAGCTTTTCTTTTCTGTAGGGTGCCTTGGTGAATCAGACATCACATCAGGTTACTAATTTTATATCACGAATTCACCGCTGAAAATACCTGCAGATTCCCTTTGGTATCAGAAACTGACACAGATGGCAAATTTGGAACAGAAAAACTCCATTCACATCCCAGAGTCTCTTACTCTTTGGATAATGTACTCGACTGAAAGTCTGACTTCATGTGTGTTGGCTTTGAACAAAACTTATTAATAAGGGAAAAGACTGAAATAGGAAAGACTGAAATAGGCTGAGATCAAAGAAATAAGGGATGAAAATGCTCTTTTTCCTGGAAGTTTACCACTTTCTAAAATGTGCTTGGTTTACCTGTTTCTTGGAAATGACCCTAGCAAGAATTCCCCTGCAGGACTACAGAATGTCCTTGTAGATCTCACATCTAAGGGTTTTCCCTGCAGCTCAGCTTCATTAAACTTTTCTCCCAGCCTGTTAGTCCCTTTTGTACTCCAGAGGTAGGAGCTCTGAAATACTGGGGAGCTGAAACAGAGTACTTGCCCTGTCACTGTACAAGTTATGACTGCTTTGGAACACCCCTGCAGTCCTCCTTCTGCTCATTGGAATGGTTCTTCTCTAACCTCCAGTGAAAGCCCAGGTTGGTTTGTAGGAGGTTCGGGGTTGTATAGGGCAGTGTGGAAACAGTTGTACTGAGCCACATGGTGATGGATGGTTACCGCTCAGTTCCATGATGTACTACTTCTGTGCATCCAGTTGAAACTTGATTTGGCTTCTCCTGCTGCCGTGTCTAATTTACTGTTTGCTGTCACTCCCAAACACCTCCAGCAGCACTGCTGCTCATCTTACCCCTCCTACTGAAAGTGACTTTCTGAATATTTTCAAGCAGATGTGTACTCACCTTTTTTCCAAACTGGCTTTCATTTTGCTAGTGTGCGATTTATTTTGCTGTTATTAATCTCATAAAGCTTCACTGTACCTTTTCGTCATTCTCATTCATATTCAAATATCCTCATGATTTGCATTTGTTGGTGGTTGTCATGAAAATGTTACTTTTCCATCTGGGTGATTAATGAATATACAAAGGAAGACAATTTTGTTTCACTTAAGATCAGCAGAGTGAGAACATTTTGTTTTATAAATGTTGAAAAGTTAAGGAGGGTGGACTAAGAAGGGAACCCTGAGCTGCACAACTGTGAATCTCAACGTGGAACACACGCATAGTTTTTGGCCACCCTACATCAGCATAGCGGTGTGAAACGTCTGGTTTGTGCTGAACAGTTATCTATGTAAATTATAAACCTACTTTAGAGCAGATTAGTTGGTTGTGGTGTCAATGACTCCTAAGCGGGATTTTTCATTCTGTTATTATAATGGAGTTATTCCCAGCAATTCTGAAAAGGAACTACTGCTTCGTCTTTCATTTCAGTGTTGGCATCACTTTCCCAGTGAGCTTGTCCCACGGGAAATTTCTGAGTGAAGCATGTGTGTTTTTAATGCTCTTCATGACATAATTAGGTCAAATATGATAAGGTCAATTTTACTTACACTGACTAAAGTTAGAAGTAAATGAAGAATGACTTTCAAGAAGTGTCTAACCTCACAACTGAATCAGATCTGGATGGAAATGCTCTCTGCTTTATATCTGATAAGAGGTGCCAGGGGAATGAAAAAGGCTGCTCAGGCATTTATGGTCAAATAAATAAAGCACCATGTAGTGTATCATGCACAATCAGCACTAAGCTATCAGCATAGAGTTCGTAACGGAAAGCAATCAAAGATAGCTGTAAATCAGGAAGGCACAAGCAAGGGTTAGGGCTAAAATGGATTTCAGTAAACCAGTTTTCATTTTGCCATCTGCCGAACACAAAACGCAAGGCGGTAAACCACAAACATAGGGAGCCAGAAGAGAGCAATTTGCTTGGGATCATTTCCTGTGAATTTTATTTACTGCTAGAGGGGAAAAAAAAAAAAAAGATTCCTGTAAGGACATCAATCCAGTTTCATGATTACAGCAGGACAGTGCTTGTACAAACATACCTGTGACAAAAGAGTGGATACATCTGCATAGGAGAATTAGAAGACACAAAATCAAACTTGAATATATCTTTGGGTCTTTACCATTAGCAGAATATGCCATTTCTGAGCAACCATGAACTAAAATTTCTGGAAGAGTTTAAATCTAGGTAAACTTGATAATGTAATTTATAGAGAGCTAAAATGTGACTCGTAGTTAATTGTCATCATGGTTAATGACTGCACGCCTAACAGACATTACTTGTTTCATCACCACACTGTGTTTCACAGTGCATTTTACAGTGGCTTCTTATGTAAAACAAATGCTTGCAATTTGGTCTACTGTATGCAAAGGACTTTTGACCTCTGGGCATCTGTCAGATGAAGTGGTGATGTTTGCTGGACAGAGTTTATTCCCTTTCCTCATACTATGCTTGGGCAGCATAGTTTCAGTGCAGCAGAGTGACTATTCTTTTTTCTGTCCTACAGAAATAGTTCCCAGAGATCTGAGGATGAAAGATAAGTTCTTAAAGCATTTAACAGGTATGTTTTAATTTTGCATTGGTATCCATCATTTGACATACATACCATAAGCTGCACTACTTTTCCTGTGAGCTGCGCTGATTCATAACTTACTTTTTCTTTATATTTCAGGTCCACTCTACTTTAGCCCAAAATGTAGTAAACACTTTCATCGGCTTTATCACAATACAAGGGACTGCACCATCCCAGCATGTAAGTGCCAAAAGCAGAGATTTTCATAAAACAACAGAAAACGCTAAAATTATAATAGCTCTATGAGGTACCAGTAGCGATACAATGTTAGAATACATTCCTTGCAATGAAGAATGTGGAGTGCTCTAAAGTGTACCAAGGATACTTTACACCGTTGCTGACTGAAAACACAACTTTTTCACCGCAAATACACCATGTAGAATGGCTGTAAACACTGCACCCTTAGGTACTGATGTATATTCCTCTCTGGTTCCAAACCAAAGGTCTTTGCTTTTCATAGGAACACGACTCCTCTCATAAACCACTCATATTTCGTTTCTAATGCTGCAAGTTTAAGGTAGGATCAGAAATCCAGGTGGGGCTATTTCCTTTTCATCGATTTTTGACTGTTCAGCTACAATCTACCAGTGATGTTGACACGGAATCTTTGCAACCCTTATCTTCAGTGAATTATGAAAATGTAACTTTTTTTTTTTTTTTACTAAGCCTTAGGAAAAGTGCTGACAGACACAAATAAGCACATTCAGCTCATCGGTGTTAGCAGCACAGAGAATAAAAAATAAAATCAAACATCGACACTTATCAGTCAGTAGATATGACTCAAGATTCATACAGACGTGGACCTGTTGAGCAAGCAAATGCTATTTTAGTACAGCCTTTTCAGAATGGAAGCACACTTTATTTTACTTGTCTGAGGTCAACCAGTTGGGTCAGTAGCAGAGCTGGGAATAGAAACAAGAGTTACAGATTCCAAGTTTCAAGTATTAATAAATATTTCAGCCCAATATATTTTAAAGGCATATTCGGTAAGAATTGCAAACTTTTTCCCCTATTTGTAAGGCTTCAGATTAGGAATACCTTCGAAAGATAAGGAGTTATAGACAACGGCTAACTAGATCATGTTCCTTTTACATGGATGGAGATGGAAGTTGTTCATAACTAGTCTGTTTTGAACAAGCAAATGGTCATATTACCTTTTTTTGTAAGGATCACAACACAAACATCATTTGACTCAGCACTAATGAGTACTCCAAGCTGTGAAGCTAAAAACTCGTTGGTATTAAAGTCTGAATTAGCCCTTTCCTCCTGACAGGTGACATACCCACCAACATAATATCTGGATAATGGAGGATAATTTGTATGAATGGCAATTATAGCATATCTATGCTGTGAGTTAGGGATTGTTAACATTGCACCTCTAGGAAACATTAGATGCAGTTACTCATTAATGAAATAATGCCAAACGAAAATGAACATCAGTCACTGGACTGGACTGACCAGCATCTCCTTAATGTAACTTTCTTCTAGGAAAATGAGGTAAACAACCTGCTTTAACTCTTCATGCATAGTATGATGTTACTTTTTGATAATACCCTGATTTCAGGTAATACCATTTATTCTGTGTAGAAATTCAAAGGCCAAACAACAAAGAAATTTAAAGTATCTATGATGCTGTAACATGGGGATAGTCAGTAGAAAAGCATTTAGTTGGCGTACCTTCTAGTACTTTGTACAGCATAGTGGCATTGGCACCTAAAAAGTAATTTACTCTGCTGTCTGTCCATAACTTTCACAAAATGTACTTTGTTTGGCATGTTAAAGAAAAAAAAATAAATCTCTTTATTAATTTTGTAGTTGTGCATTGGTTCTGCCCCTTATTACGAATGCACCAAAAAGCAGAAGGAACCTAAAATAAGAACTACTAACAGTAAGACCACTATAGAAAAAACAATTTTACTAGTTTTAAGATAAAACTTGATACAGTTATGAATGAATTTGTATGAAATGATTGCCTACTCAGGTTGGACTTAACATTCCTGTGACTAGGAGATGTCATTTGTCTAATTTCACGTTTTTTCCAGGAAGAAAATTTATTAGGGAGTTGCATTACTTAATGTTAACTTGATAGACTTGCTCACTGAGCGCTGGATTTCAAAAATGGATGAGCACTACTTATTCTTCCTGTAGTATAGAAATACTACAGTCACGCTTAGATCCCACATTTAAGCACAGACACAGATGTATAAATTTTCACACATACATACACTTGGAGAGCCTTCAAGCACATTCATGCTATTTGTTTAGATAGTACGTATGCAGAAATTGGTTGCAGAGAGTTATATGTGCCGTTAGACAAGACTCAGTTACAGAATTTTTACATGCTCCATTTCTCAGTCTACAGAACTGATTTCTATCCTGTTGCAAACTAAGGTGTTCACTGAACTTTATTACGACAATAATTTGCACACGGTTAACAGTTTTGATTTTTAAAAGCAAAATTGGTTGCTTTAGTAATCTATTTACTCTTTTTTTCATGACAGACTATAAAAGATGTGCCAGGCTTCTTACTCGGTTGGCAGTAAGCCCAATGTGCATGGAAGGATAAAGGTAAGCTTTCTCATAGCAGTAATGACATTCTACTGCATAGCAAAGCAGGGGATTTTGTGTTTCATACATGAAAATTCATGGGAGTATAGTAACAGTTGTCCTTTTGCTAAGATACTCTCCTTTCAGACTAACTTATTCCCCTTGAAGTAACTGGCTTAATCTGGCAAATATTGGTGATAAATAAAGGGTACCCCCTACTGGAAGTCATCATATAAAAGTCCGTGTGCATCAGCTGTGAATTATTCATAGCAGCATACAGTTAGCAGATAGTGAATTTGTTGTTATAGAACAAAACACAACAGCTGTAGCTTATTTTTCAAGAGTTGACTCAGTACACAACTGCCTGTATTGGCAGCGGCAGCCCTTTGATGTGTGCAGCTGTGGATCTATGCTGTACATTGTAGTCTGAGTTAATATATACATAGCTATACACATTAACGCTTTATAAATGCAGATAGGTTGCAGGTGCTGTTATAGTAATTCAATTAAAATGTATTATTAGTAGCCCTGATAAACTAACTTCAAGCTACTCCGATTTCTTGGGATTTTCATTGTGTTCACCTCTCATGTCTCTGGGTTTATTTCCTCCCCTTTTGCCTAGATGTACCTCTAATTCCCGCAAATACTTTGGGAATTTCACCATGTACCAAAATAAAACCAAAAAAACCCCAACCAACCAAACAAAAAAGTACTTCCAAGCTATCTGTATTTCTAGAAATCTGACACATAAGAATACAAAAGGACTAATTTACATTCTGTCCTCAACCTTTACCTGAGACAATAATGTCACCTCTGACAAAGGGATAAATAATAACACATATGGATTTGTCAGTAACAAATGCTGTCAAACCAAGGTATTTTAACTCTGTGACAAAATACACATCTTGTGGAGACAGTCAGTGAGAAAAAGCAATAAATGTTAAGCATCTTATTTTTTTAAATCACTGACGCTGCTTTGCGTGGCATTCTCACAAGTAAGCTAGGGAAATGTGATCAGGATAAATGTAAAAATGGCTGGAAAAATATAAAAACAAGTTATTAGTGCTTCACTGTCAAACTGGAAAAATGTATTGAGTAGAGTCACACAGCTTCATTTTGGGTATGGTATTGTTCAATATTTTCATTAATAACTTGGGTGACAGAAGACAGTATATTTATGGATGACAGTAGTGTAGGAGAAGCAACCATGATAGAGTACAGTCTTGAGATTGAAAATAATCTTGGAAAATTAGCTGAATAATCTAAAAACAGGGTAAAATTTAAAGGAAAGAGCGTGGAGTAATCAACTGGAGAAATACATGCAAGTTGTGAATAACTAGACAGACAGTTCTGTAGAAAATGTAGGGGTTGTAGTGGATCACAAAATAAGCATGTCACACTTGTAAAGACAAACAACAGACTGGAATTTATAAATAGAAACATTGTTTATAAAACACCTGAAATAATCACTGTTGCTGCAATACTGTATTTAATTAAGGACACCATGAAGAAATATGGGTGTTTCTTTTAAGAGTCCAAAGAAGAGCAACATGCATGACCAAAGACCTAGAAAACTCAGTTTACAAGAACAGCTAAAAGGAATTTGGATTATTTAATCTAAAGAAAAGATAACTGCAGAAAAACATGATGGAGCTATTAAATTTCATAAAAAGTGTCTACAAGCCATTCTCTCTATCCAATGTGGATAAATAAGACATAATTTAACTTTGCAACAAGAGAGGATTCCAGCTAGACATTAGAAAAGACTTTTCTAATGGCAAGGGAAAAAGTAATAAATCATTAGATGTAATTCAGCATCCTGACTTTATGCTAAATTCCTTAACATTTTTAAAGTATTTTCTGTCTGACTTCCTAAAATAAACCTAAACTAGCCCAACTTCATATGTTTCTAATGCCCAAAACCCGTTACGTTACTTGCTGTCTTAATTTGAAACATGCAGCTGTGGAAAGGCATTTTATCCATACATTGTGTGTTCAGGGCTGGAATTGTGGAAACAATCGCATATAGTATTAGGGCAAATAAAAGTTAGCAAACAGGTAAATCTTGTGATCTAACTAGGAGAAATGCCAGGGATCCAACCTGCCAATTGTAATTTATTCCTTGCTTTCTGGATTTTAACTACTTTATAATTATATTCACCTGCAAAAGATAGGTGAGTAATGTTATGACCAATGCTGATAAGCAGATGCATCAGAGTAGAGAATTCTTTTCTCCCTTTTCTTGGGAAGTTTTATCTGTATCTTTACTTCCTATAATGTAAACACAAACTCATCATATCAAGGAACAGTAACTAAAGTAGTTCACATCTCAAGCTTGGATTCTGTTTTAAAAAAGTCCATCTCATTTTGCCAAACATCTCCTTTGCTCAACCAGGAGACATGTTTCAACGCGAGTAACAAGCCTCCGCTTCTGTTATCCTCTACACAGACACAAATCGTTAACAGTATCAGCACTTTTAAGGAACCTCTATTAGTAGAAAGACTATTCTCTACAGTATATGCCTTGAGATTCGCAGGTGTCTCCATAAAATTAAGCATCCTTTCTCCTCAAAGCTTTTCCACTGCATCTGTTCAATTTGTGTGGGTAAGACATTCCCTCTCACAGGAAAGTGTAATGAAGGCTTTATTTGTTTTCATTATTCGTCACTAGACTAGGGCTTTGAGCAACCTGGTCTAATGGGAGGTGTCCCTGCCCATGCAGAGAGGTTGGAACTAGGTGAAAGCAACCTAAACCATTCTATGATTCTATAATTTCATGGACTGCGCTGTAGAAAAATGTATTCTTTTTGTATTTTTCCACTTATCGAACCATCCTTTTTCTCCACAAAGTGTATAGTTGTCTTTAGTCCAAGGTGTTTTCAAGAAGTTGCAAAGTTTTGAACATAGTACCACTTATACATAGCAAAACAAGAATTCAAAGCCATTTCTTACTCACGATGGCTCCCTAGCGTACAAAGAGTTTATTTAGGCAATAGGTAAACACTTCTGGTTTCTTCCATAAGGCTACTAGTTAGTATCAGCTCTGAAGCTCAGACTAGCTCCTGAGTATTAGATAACAAAAATTAAGAAATACTACTCCGTAAAGGTCTGAATTCACAAGCAGAATTTGACCGTTTATATTAATTGTACATAAAAATATATTTAAAAAAACCTTTTAAAACTCCTATACTATAAACTACTAAAATAACACATTCTTAATTATCAACATACTTTTTTCCCACCAACAAATTAGATTTCTTGTTTTGCTTGGTAGCTGATTTTTGTTTCATTGGAGGCTGAAATATGAGTGGGCTGGGCTATAGATGAATTATTGCTTTTTCACATTTTGGCAAACTAGTAGTTTTGGTGCATTTTTCAGATCTACAGGTATCTATCGATGCTTAGAGATCAGTTTTGGGGGGAAGAAAATAAAAAGGATAGATTTGTTTTTCTTTGTACTTGAAATGCATTTTAGACTATCTTAGCTTTAAAGCACACAAGACGTTGAAACTCAGTGCTAAGATCAAACAGCAAAATAAGATGCGCAAACAGGAATTAGGCATTATTACTATGACAGACATAACTAAGGGGGCTGTGTGTGATGCAGTGTGTTTTATGGAGCCTTCACTGTTTCTCATTTATCCTACACATACCTAACTGGGCTCCATCTTTCTTTTTTTTTAGAGCGTATGTTGACATTTTCCCTGTCCCGCAGACATGAGCAGTGCAGGGGCCCAGTAACAGCCCTTTTGCTTGCCAAGATTGCACAAGTGAAGCCAGAGTAGCGGATTTGTATTACCACATCACTCAGTAGTCCTTTTTTCTGAGTTTGCCTTACTACAGGATCTCTGTGGCTGGCACCAGATGTGACATTAAGAGTTTTATCACCTTCAGTGCATGCATCATCTGATGCTCACATCGGTGCAGACTTCCACCCGGGTGTTCACACATGGGGAAGGAATGTTTTGATGCTAGCATTTGGAAGTTCTGCTACAAAGTCATACTGGCACAGTATTTAAAAGTTCATATTGATATTTAAAACACTAAATTATCTCCTATAGGTTAGCTTTATTTTACAGTGTTTATCATCATGCACAGATAACAACTAGAACCAAATTTGGAAAGCTGTGATATGCCTTTACAATAGATTTAATTTCTTCATTTAAAATTGAAACAATTCTATGATTTGGCTGTTTTCAGCTAATATTGCTGGTTGGGTTTGTGTTTTGTTTTATTTTTATTTTTTTTCCCCTTTGCATTAGCGAAGGAGAACTAAGAATCAAATGCAAGTGGAGAAAGGAGTCTTATAGCTACCTGTATTCTCAACAGAGACTGTAGTCAAATAGTATGCAGGATTTCCACAAAGACTACCTGCCATCCGTCAGTGAAATTCCAGTCTGATTTTCCTAGACTGATGCATATAACATAGGCTATGTGAAACAAGAAAAGTACAACAACAGATTGATGAATGCTAAAAATCTGGGGCCTTTCAAAGGGCTTCTGAAAATGCCAGGGATTTAGAAAACTGCAATTCAGCTGAGCACTGGGAATTTAAGACCCACAGCTTTTGATCAGATATCCATACAAAAGCAGGTATCAATGACAAACGAGCATCCTATTCTCTTCCAGTTTTTCACCCTCAGTGACCCGCATATTCCCATTAGTATTAGTAATTAAAAAAACTATTTATTAAATTCTCGGTGTTTAACTTGTTGTACCACACACTGATCAAACCAAAGGCATGTTAATTTGTTTTTAAACATTACTTTTAAACATCACAGCTTAAAAAGGGTACAGTAGGGGCATACATACAGAAAATAAGCTAGATGAAAATGCAAGACAAGGAAAATTTACGTCAGTTTCCCCTCTAAGGAAGGATATGAAAAAAAAAAAAAAGTATTTGTCCTATCTGCAAGGCCAGAAAAAACTAAATTACATTAAGCTTTTCTGTAACATTGTTAGATTTCCTAATAGCTTTAAAAAAATTGCAAAACTAAATATGTTTAAATACTACTAACA